GGACAAATAAAAGGAGAAGAATAGGAAAAGATGAACAAAAAAGAACAAGTATTACTTTAAACTTAACTTACTATTATCCGAGAGATAGACCCCTAATGGATTCTGGTGTACAGTATGATGGAAGTCCAGAATAGCTCCTAAGTATACTAGAACTAGTAATTTTACGCCGCTGCATTGTCCAACCGCGACTTGTTTTTATCAGGCACATCGGATAGTATTATACGAGGTTCGTTTTCTTAAATATTATTATTATGGTTTTTCGTTAAAAGTTTTGCATGATCAAAAAAGGTAAGGCAATATTTTACGGTTATCGACAGCGTAATCCTATAAAATTCAAATTAGTAATGACAGCATTGATTATTTTATAAGCCGACGGTTTGACATTTAAATTTCAAATGAGTCCGGCGGTGGCCAATCGCGTTCGACCACCGCACTCAAGCTGCGACTTTGATTTACAGGATCTAGTTAGACAACGGTTAAATTCGAATAAATCTTTGTCTCTTTCTGGCATTTTTATTTGTAAACGTTTCTCCAAATGAAATATGTATGTTGTTTCGAATGATATGCGTGTGTGTGTACGCATGTGCTTTATGGTAATCCGCTACGAAAGAATTCCGTCGTTGATCTTAAAAAAAAAATCTTATAACAATAACGATTGTTTTTGATTTGTTGCGAAAGCCCGATTTATTTTCCTAACCCCGCGTCGGACATGCGAAATAAAGTTCCACATTTTTCCAAGCGGCATTTCAATGTGACGAGGTGTTATTAATGGACCTTCTCCTGTAGACTACTCAGAAGATAAGTATGTAACGCAACAAGCTTGAGAAACCACGTTATAGTCACGAGTCCGTTTGCCCGAAATATACTATACTTTTTCTACCACTATTTGTTTCTAGATACATTTTTGGAAAACAGCGGGAACAGCTTGATTCAGTGACAAACTCCAAAATACTATCGTTATTTCAATAAAATTTTCCGCTCGAAGTGACTCGCGAACAAAGGTGACATCTTAAAGTGACACTTTCCTGACGCTTCAGCTGCGCATAATTGGATTTGTTGAGAGTATGGAACAGAAAGAAAATTCCCGTGGTTGAAATATGTATCTATCTTCATAATTAACTGCTTTCCAGAATTGCAAACTCATATATAGCGTAAGGTAGGTGAGGTTTACTCTCGACGGGATAGCTACAAAATATAACTTAATTTTAAGCAAATTCATATTCATATTTTCGCGATAACGAATACATATGTTCAGGGTGACATTATAAATGATAAAATTATTTGCCCAATTATCTATAAGACTGAATGGCGAAAGATACCATAATATAGTGACAAATGAAGTCAAAAATGTAATTAAAAACTTACCATTACAGCAATACCGAGAACGTACCAGGATTGTGCCTCACCACAAAACGCCTTACCTGCAAAAAAATATTTCAATGAGAAATAGGAAACCTGGATTGGACGTAATGGAATAATGGGAGTCTAAATAAATAAGACTTGTGCATATCTACGGTACATTATTGGTACAAATGACATTCGCAGTCAGTTTATTGTTAACGATTTAAATAAACGAGATGACGATATCTCCAAAACAGCAGAGACATGTTCCTTGAAGACGTGTTGTTTTATTTTAAAAAATTGATGTCATACAAAAATAATACATATCCAATATTTAATCTTTTTTTTCTTATGACAAATTCAAAAACTATATATAGTAAAACACAAACATATTGACCCTCTTTTAATAACTCATGAAAGAACTGCGTGGGGTATCAATATATGAAGAATCACCCTGACTACAATACAAAATATTGCAAAAAAAAAATTTCGTCCAAGTGCTCTAGAATAATACTCAGCAATTTTGACTAGTAAAATAAACTCTGGCATAGGAGAAATATGATATTAAATTAAATTAAAATGATATTCAATGTTTTTCTTGTTGAGAATGCAAATCGCAAATGCACTGTGATGCAAATATTGATGCTAGTGCTGGTTATCGTCGGGTTTTATAACGATACACAGAATAATATTTTCATGTAAATTAGAAATTTAAGTGACTCTACGTTAGTAAAACCTCTTGCTAATTTTTCGTTAATTATTACCCATAAAATAACAAATAGTTCTTTTTTTAACAATACCGATAAGACTTGACTTTTTGGAAGTGAAAAGTTGATTTGCATATTGATCTTACAAAGTCTGATTGCCGAAATGCTGGAATCTTCAGAAGTTTGCAATGCACTAGGCTGATTTAATTGCGAAATGTTGTTGAATGTCTATGCAAACAAATGGAGGACGTGTTTCCAAAGCGATTGTCACTTTTTTCTTGTTTTGTGTATTTGTGTATTATCTATTGCAGATTTTCGACAAACGCTCATCAATTTAACGTAACTGTTTATAGTGAAATATCAAATTCTTAATACTGTTAGATCTCACACTGCTATGATGATTTATTGACCCTCTCGGCGATTATTTTCCCCCACCTTAGATGGTTTCCATGGTAACCATTCATATTTAGGTAACACGGGGTCCTTCAAGGTTCCCATTCGGGGCCTTTGTTTTTTATAATTTGCATTCCTGACATAACAAAATGTTTTCTTTATAGCAAATCTTGGTTGCTGAAAATTTTCAGGTAAAAATTACCACACCTTCAGACTACATAAAGTTCCAGGACGATATTCAGTGCTGTTTCTATATTAACATCGAAAAATGCTGCGTTCTTTCTTTTATTAGGAATCGGTTTCCTATTCCCCTCAACTACTCAATTGACCGGCCAAATGGAGTCGACATTTTTATTGAGATTCCCCGAATTGCTGAGTATCGTGGTCGGGTATTCCTTGAAGAGGTTATAGGTTATGGACATCACAAACGCATAATATGTTATTATAATATACATATTATTATTAAATAATGATAGATAACACTCGACAATAGCGAACTTAAACAAAATTTTAATTTGAAAATTATTGCTCATAAAATATTAAAAGAACCACGAAACAAAAATGATTTTGTATGTCAGTAGATGTATAGTGCCGATATAAGCAACAGAAACCGTACATAACCTCAATTTCCTAACCCCCCCGCAGCGGGGGCCCCCCGCGCGTGGCGTCCTAGTGTCCCCCCTGTCTACCAGAGTGCGCTCCGCCCCCCACCCAGCTTGTGTAGCGTCCTGTTTTGCCCCGGTTCCGCCCGTCGCTGCTAGATGTCGCGCGCTTGTGTAGCGTCCTGTTTTGCCCCGGTTCCGCCCGTCGCTGCTAGATGTCGCGCGCTCCGACCGTCGTAGGCCCCCCCGGTAGAGGGCGGTGACGGTGCGGCGCGGTGACGCGGTGGATCGGGAGGATAATTAAATAAACTTGAATTTTAATACATTTTATTTTATTTTATTTATAAAATTGGTCTGGCGAGGAGTTTCTTCTTCTTTTTATGTCGATTCAGTCGACCATCCCATTGTTCCTGTTCCTTGCGTTGTTCTTCTTCCCGTTCCCGGAGGAAATCTAAATACGAAGTGCACTCCTCGCCGTCCCACTCCGTCGACCACCCACCCGGGTACTCCTGCTGCTCCTTTGTTTCTTTTGATCCACCGGGTTGCTCCTGCTGCTGGTGATGTTCCCTTGTCGTTTCATGTCGTACCGGGAATTCTAACCCCCGGTACTCTTTGTGTGATTTGAATATGTGACGCCCTAAGCGATGCGCCAACATAATATGCGACTTGTCATACGGACAAACCGCGATTTTTTCTAGAACAAAACAAAGTATGATATGTAGCGTTTCCTATAAAACACACATTTTTTTTTAAAACAAAACTTCCAAAAAGGGGGGTTATCAAATAATTTTAAAAATTGTTTTTTAAGTTATACGCGCATACCAAAATTCACGTTTCAATTCACTGTCATTTAAATGTAAGTGTATTATTGTCAAAAGGGCAAACTGCAATTTTTTAGTACAAAAAATAAACAAAAATATGTATATATTTCGCGTTTTCCCCATAAAACGCACATTTTTGAAACAAAACTTTCAGTAATTTTAAAAATTGTTTATTTTTTAAAAGCCAAAATTCCCTATTCACTGTCATTTAAAAGATATTAAAAACGCTCAATTTAATTCGATTATTATTGTCAAAAAGGCAAACTGCAATTTTTTAGTACAAAAAATAAAACATTTTTGAAACAAATTTAAAAATTGTTTATTTTTTAAAAGCCAAAATTCCCTTTTCCATTCACTGTCATTTAAAAGCTATTAAAAACACTCAATTTAAATCGGTTATTATGCAACGTAAAAAAGATGAGTATCATATTTTAAAACAGGTAGAAACTAACCAAAAAAGTGATAACCCAAACTGAAACCCACAAGAAAAGACGCGCACTGTATAAAGGTAATTAAAATATAAAACTTACCAGTTGTAGGGTCGTAGGGAAATGGACATCGCACTTCTCTATTCATTGCACTGAATATAGTCTATAATACACATGCAACGTATTTATACACATGCACTCCCTTCCATGGTTGAATTAAAAGTCGAAAGGTCTTCTACCCACAAGCACCAACGCCGATTTGAATAGACGCGATGTTGTCGCCAGACAACCGTGCAGGTAGGAGTCTCAGGGTCAACACGCTTTCACACGGGAACGCAACCGTTTCGGACGTTGGACGAACGTATGTTGCCGCAAAAGATCAAGGCCAACTTGCTTTCATTTTTTACAATCTCCGTATGGGATGTGGAATTTCAAAACGCGCCGAGTCTAAATGTCAAGTTGTTTTGCTTGTTGAGAATAATAATTAATTGCCCCCTTTATATTTGCTCCGTGGGATTAACGTAATGGGAAAAATTTGTTGCAACGCATGTGGAGGTGTCTTCGTTTGTTAACTTTTAGAAAGTATTCTCGCACCGTATAAATACATCTCATTTTTCTCTGTTTTGTCAGTAGTTGTTTTTGGTATTATTCGTGCAACGTGGAAGCTAACTTAGTGGTTTGGTGTTCGTACAAAAAATCAGTAAGTACCTTTTTTATTGTCTTATTTTAATTCTTTAACATTTGTTATTATTTTATAAAGTTCCTAAAGATCATCTTAGTACTCTCAACCCGTAACCGCAAATAGAATAGCAGCAATCTTAAGCGTAAGTTTTTTTTATTTTTTTAATTTTGAGATAAAATAATTAATAATAATTTATAGATGGACTTAAGTCAACTGAATCAAACCTGTCTTGCAGAAGGTGATTTTGAGCAGCCGATTGTCAAACTGCATGAATTGCCGATAGGCGTTCCGTTTAAAATTACTAGAGCCAAAATTGTTAATACAAAATTTGGCAATTCCGTGTTGCTGCAATTAGAAAATTCCGTAGTATTTCTTCCTACTCGCGTGACAGAAGCTTTCCGTCCGAGACTAGAACACTTTGCGTCGGGGCAGTACAAACTGGTCTACGAGGGATCCAAAGATATTGGAAAGCCCAACTCTTTAAAGAAATTCAAAATAATTCAAAATTAATCAACATATTATACAGGGTAAGTCTTATTTACTGTTATATATTTAATAAACCACGATGCGCGTAAAGCAGATCATTCATAGAGCGCAAATCTTAATTTTAACCTTACAAAAATTAAAAAAGCATATTTCCGACAAGTTCACTCTTAGAGATAGTGATGTGTGGCTTAGGAGACTAAATAAAAATATTGAATCTTGCAACCAAATCGTTTCTAACGAAAAGGATTTCTCTATTGGGTTAAAAAGAAAATTACAAACTACAATTCAACATCTGAAAGCTATTAGAAAAATTATTCTTAATTATCAACATAAGCATTTTGGATTGGGATTACAAAGTAGTAGCCGCGAGACAAACACAAATGAAATGGTTGTATGGGAATCGGTAGCGTCGTGTTTCCAGGGAAGAGTTCAGACCGGTGTCATAATTAATTTACTTCATAAAGATTTAATTCAATTTTTAAACGATTCTCGTCCAATATTTCAACAAAAAATTAGTCAAATTTTAAAGAAATTTTTATTGCTGAAAGTAAATACCACATTTTGCGGTGAATTTATTAAGGCAAAAAATGATGTCCAAGGCGAAGTTGATGTTAAATATCTGAGTACCGGAAATGCTGTAGTTGATTTAGGAACAGAATTGAATGATTGGTTTGTTGAAAATGTGCAAGATAAAATTTTAAATCAAATGTCAGAGTTTCAGGAACGTGATTCCGGGTGGGCTTTAAATAATATTATTTATTTAGAGATTAACATTAATAAATTTGAAATGGGTAACGGGTCATCCTTCGTTGAGTTGCCTAAAGAAATTGCGAATAAAAGGGCTTGTATTAACATTAGAAATGACGATCAAGCGTGTTTTTATTGGTCAGTTGTATGCGGACTCTTTCCAGCACGTTTTCGTCAGTATTTACCCTCTTCATATCCATACTACAAAAGTGTTTTGAAAACTGAAAATTTACAAACACCTATGGAAATGAATAAAATAAGCAAATTTGAAAAAGACAATGATATTTCCATCAATGTTTATATCTTAGAGCTTAATAAAAATGAAAAAACTAGTTTTTATTCCGTGTTACCTGCACGATTAACAAAAGAAAAACGCGAAAAACATTCAAATTTGTTGTTAATACAAAATAAATATTATCCAAAAGTTAATGATTTTGATCCTGATCCGCAAGATAATGATTATGAAGAAATAAAATATCACTATTGTTACATTAAAAATTTGTCTCGATTAGTTTCCTCACAGCTCAGTAAATATAATCACAAGAAATACATTTGCGATAGGTGTTTGAATTATTTCAATAACGAAACTCGTCTACATGACCACGAAACAATATGTTCCAGTTTCAATGAGTATAAAGTGTCTTTTCCCAAATATGATTACGTTGAATTTCGAAACCATATATATAAACAAAGGACTCCGTTTGTAATTTACGCCGATTTTGAGAGTCAATTGAGAAAAGTAAATTTGAAAATTTCAGATAAAACCTCGAAATACCAAAAGCACGAAGCTTACAGTGCTGCATATTACTTTAAATGTTCTTATGATGATTCAATATCATTTTTCAAAAGTTATCGTGGTCTAGATTGTATTGATTGGTTCGTGGAGGAAATATCTAATTTATCAAAATTTGTTCGTTCAAAATTTAAGGATATTATACCAATGGATAGTGAAATTAGTCTAGATCAAAGGTCGAGTCATTGTCATATTTGTGAAAAACCTTTTTTAAAAGAAGATGTTATTGTTCGTGACCATGATCATTTTACTGGTAAATTTAGAGGTTTTGCCCATCAGGCTTGTAATTTAAATTTTAAAAAAATATTTGTAGTGCCCGTAGTATTCCAGAACCTTTCTGGATACGATAGCCACTTCCTGCTTCCGGTTTTAGCAAAAAAAAGCTATGTATCCATAGTTCCGGTTAATAAGGAAAAATACATCTCTTTTACATATTTCGAACCTGATTATAACATAAAATTTAGATTTATAGATTCGTTTAGATTTTTGGGAGCATCTCTGGATAATTTAGTTTCCAGTATGGATAAAAATGAACTATATATTTTAAGAAAAGAATTTTCCGATCTCGACGAATCAAAATTAAATTTACTGTCGCAAAAAGGTATTTTTTGTTACGATTACATCGACCATATAGACAAATTAAATGAAACAACTTTACCCCCGATTGAAGAATTCTATAATAAATTAAGTGAAAGCAATATTAGTGAAGAAAAATATTCCCACGCACAAAGTGTTTGGCAGTCGTTTGAAATAAAAAATTTAGGCGAGTATTCAGATTTGTATTTAAAAACCGACGTTATTCTTCTGGCAGATATATTCGAAAATTTTCGAAAAACTTGTATGGCAACACACGTTTTGGATCCGGCGTGGTATTTCAGTATGCCCGGGTATACATGGGATTGCATGCTTAGATTCACAAAATGTCGTTTAGAACTTTTGCGCGACATTGACCAAATTATGTTTATCGAGCGGGCTATACGAGGTGGAATTTCGGTGTGTGTTGGTAGATATGCGGAGGCCAACAATAAATATATGCCCAACTACGATTCATCCAGGGATGATTCCTATATCATGTACTTTGACGTCAATAACCTCTATGGCAAGGCCATGTGCGAGCCTCTTCCTTACGGAGGATTCGACTGGATGTCTCATCAAGAGATTGATTCATTTAATGTCATGAACATTCCAGATGAATCTTCCCAAGGATATATCCTAGAGGTAGACCTGGAATACCCGCAGAAATTACATGACACACATAGAGATTTTCCATTTTGTGCCGAACATCGAGTGCCCCCCAATTCAAAGTTACCAAAACTAATGACTACTTTGTATAATAAAGAAAAATACGTCATACACTATCGCAATTTAAAACAGGCTCTCAAAAACGGTCTCGTACTAAAGAAAATTCACAAAATATTAAAATTTAACCAATCTCGTTGGTTGAAATGTTATATCGATCATAATAATAAATTAAGAACCCAAGCAAAGACAAAATTTGGTATAAATTTATACAAATTGTTTAATAATGCCGCTTACGGTAAAACAATGGAAAACATTCGCAAGCATCGTATTGTTAAATTTGTTAAAGCGTGGGATGGTCGCTACGGTGCGAAAAATTTAATTTCTAGTCCTAGATTTCACAGTAGAACCATACTTGATAACAATTTGTTGCTTATAGAATTAAAAAAATCGGAACTTTGCTTTAATAAGCCACTTTATATTGGAATGTCCATATTGGATTTGTCGAAAACGACCATGTACGAGTTTCATTATAATTACATGCTTCCAAATTTGGGTCCCGAAAAATGTAAAATTCAATACATGGATACGGACAGTTTCATTTATAATATCAAATGTTATGACGCATATGAAAGCGTTATTAAGGCCGATTTAACAAAATTTGACACGTCTGATTATCCTAATGACAATCCCTATAATATACCGCAAATCAACAAAAAGGTTTTGGGGTTGATGAAGGATGAGACTAATGGCACCATCATTAGTCATTATGCTGGGTTAAGGTCGAAAATGTATACTTTCAAAATTTTAACGGGTTCGGTAGTTAAAAAGTCAAAGGGTATTCAGTACAATATTGTAAAAAATAAAATTTCATTTGATGACTACGTAGAATGCTTAACAAATTTTAGGGAAAAGTACGCCACTCAACGAACCATTCGTTCATACACTCACAATGTATTTAGCATCGAACAAACAAAAGTTGCCTTGAGTCCTTTAGACGATAAACGTTATCTTTTGCCGAATTCATATGAAACGCTTCCGTGGGGACATTATAAAGTGCCGTAATTATTTTTTAATATATTTTTGTTACAGATTATGGTCAAACAACTTACATTAGAAAGCCTTTGTATTATAACAATTTGCGAAAATATTAGGTGTAGTGCTGATTTTTTGCTTGAGTCACCTTTGCCTTGGAAACTAACGATACTAATATTTAAATATTATTCGAAATATAGATGGAGGTACCTTAAACAACTAGCGCTCCAGTCTGATGGCAATTCTTTATTAAATTTAGAATTCATTCTGTTGAATAAGAGATTTGGATCGTCTTACAGAAATAGCATTTTGGCAACTCCAACCATTGATTTTGACGGAGAATCCGCTTACTGTTTATGGGTCAGTTATTACAGGATAAAATATTCGGAAATTTTAGTTTGTAAATCTTGTCACTTTATATTTCAAGTAGTTAAAAAATTTAAAAAGAAAAATTTTAGACTTTTATTGGATCACTATCATTTACAGCTGGATATAAATAATTTGAATGATGTATATCACGATAAACAATTTTGGTGTCAAAGCTGCTTTGAAGAAGTTTTGTTCACTGTAGAAACTGAAGATGAATGTAATTTAATGCTTCACTATGAGAGAAAATATGGAAAAAAGTTACGCTTTTCTGATAGCACATTGAACTATTAATACTGTGGTTTTATTATAACATATGTAACTGTAGATAAGGCTTTTATGTATTGATTGTATGCCATTGTATTGCAACAAGAATAAACATGTATATATTTAGACGCTATTTTCTTTTTTACCACCACCACAACACCGCATAATAATTACACAGAAGTTTGTAATTGTATAATTTATTTATTATATACATTATTACTATTTTACAATTTCGTTAAATGCTAAATTATTAAATTGTTCTAGTTTTCTTTTGCACTCTTGAGCTTGCATCCGCGCCACTTGCAAGTCTGTATTAAAAAGCGCAATTTGTGTTTCAATTTCGTTGATATTGCACTCTAATCCCGACAACTGAGACGCCAAGTTTCTTTTTAAATTGAATGCCTCACAAATGACACTTTTTTCTCTACCGTCCGTGAACACTTCGAGCCAATCAGCGGATGACGTTGGAGCTGCAAACGCTTCACTTGTGGTAGTTTTCTTCTTCTTCTTGCGGGATACGACCGACGCACTTTGTTTTCGTTTGGTCGCAGATTTTTTGGTTTGTTGCTCTACAGGAACGAAGCTGGACGGGAGCACTTCTGATGAAGGAAATTGCAACTCGAAATTTTCCAATAAATTATACAATTCGTTGGATGTCACAATTTTCTCTTGAGCCATCATATACACGTATTTATGTCAGAACTTCTAAATCGAGACTAAATTTATTTCAAAACGTCTACGTTGTCTACCCACGAATCGTGCGACTTATCCAATCCCAACCAGCGCACGAGAACCATATTGCCTCGTCTGCGCAACACCTTTTCGACGAGATATAAGTCCGGGTTAACTGTCTTCTGCAATTCTTCTTCATAAAATCCGCCCATTATGGGTTTACCCTGCATATCTTGAAGCAAATACGTTACGGGGTTAGTAACCCGTACTTTAACAATTTTAAACAATTCCGTGGTCCAATTCGGTGTATAACCTTTGTTGAAAACGTGCTTGACTTTGCTGATTCTAACGATGTCGCCGACTTTAAGTTTACGAGGACCGAATATTTTTATGCTACTATACGCGGTTTTCAAAATTCTCTTTTCGTTGCTCTTACTCACATCGATGGGTTTCGTACCCGTCGTTCTATGTTTTGTGTTATTGTATTCATCAACGATAGAGGCGAGCACATCGATCCATTTGTACGTCCCGCGTAAAGAAAAATGTCGAAACAATTTCTCTTTGAGGGTACGTATCACCCGTTCGACAATTGAGGCCTTTTTTATGCTATACGTACTATAGTGGTTAATTTTATGCTTATCCACAAGTTTCAGAAACGTGTCGTTGTAAAATTCTTTACCGAGATCCGTTTGCAAGTTTTGAGGGTGCCGTCCGTCCTTGAGAATTTTGGAAAACGCCTTGGCGACTTCGACCCCGGTTTTGGTTTTCAACGGGCGACACCATACATATTTTGAGAAACAGTCTATCACAACCAGCACGAATTTAAAATTTCTGTTTTGTTTGCTGTAGCGATCTAATTGGGCCAGATCCGCTTGCCACAGGTCATCCATCCCTCGTATTATAGTCCGGCGGCGAGCATAATTTCTGCGTGCCGGCTTGTGCAGTTCTCGAACCAGTTGTACCTTCTCTTTATTCATAATGTGTGTTCGGTTGCGATGGAGGATTTAAAACCCTTTGTTTCAATACCTTCATTATATTCTCATTTTCGTTCGTAAGTCGCTCCATTTTGGTTACAATATCATGAAATTGCTGTGACAAAACGGCGACTTTTGTCATGTGCTTTTCCAAATCTTTCTTTGCGCTCATTTCGCTTAGCTTTTGGTGGAAAACTTCGCGAAACTGCATAATTTCATTTTCGAGTGTAGTGCTACTCATTTTCAGTTGTTCTTCAAGACGCGAGAATTTAGTTTTGTCTTCAATTTGTAATCTTTTCGTGTACGCTTCGAGTTTCTGTCCAATAATCTTTCTCAATGCAATTTTTAATAAATTACTTGTCTCATCCACATATTTTTTGTTAGCCACGTCACCGTCATCGCTAGGCGTTTGGACATTGCAAATTTTTAAATTGTTCATATTGACGTTTCCGTCTGGCATATAGTCGAGGGCGCTTCTAATCACAGTATTAGTGAAGGGTCGTTTAGAGCGCAGCGCGCTAGAACGTCCAAACTTGTCCAGACTCATCGTTAAACTAACGTATAAAACCTGATTCTTTTAGCTCTTCAACGATTGAAACTATTTCGTTATCATGAGACGTGTTGCCTGCGTGTTTCGACGCGATTAGTAATTTCAGACGCTCTACGAGTTCATTGACGTCGTCCCAGTATACATATTCAGTAGGAGCGTCATTATAACGCATATTATAACCTTGACCGCTGTACGAGTACGAACGCGACTGAGATTTTATTAAGGGTCGGATGACCTTGGTATATTTTGGTACAGTCGATGCGCCTTTCAGACGTCCGATCGCGTCCCTGTGCACCTGGGTAGCCTCCATTATTTTTTTATATTGTGCCAAATCGTCTTTTGTGTATGCTATGGGATCTTTTAAAAACACCAAATTATATAAGCCGCGGGTACCGGAATATCTCTCGCCGTCTACAATAATATCGCCAGATCCTTGATGAAAATCCAGCGATTTATTGCCGAGAAACCATTTGGATGATATTTTGTCGTAAACGGGTCCGTAAACAATATCGGTGTCGGGCGATTTTACCCATAAATTTTGAATATATGAATGGGAAATTTCTGGATATTGTTCCAGGTATGATTGAAGGGATGCGTTGGCCACGCTCGATGTGTCAAACACATCATCTTCCTCCTCATCGATATTTTGCATCTCAACGCTCTTATTGGGATCCGGCGTTTCCTGAATTTCTTCCATAGGCAAAAATGATACGTTAACCTTATTTTTTGTTTCTTCGTTCGGTTCCTTTTTGTGTTCCCGCTTGACACCTCGACGTTCAGTTTTTATTTCTGCCGGTGACGGTGATAGCTTTATTTTTGCTATACGTTCTAGCGGCTCGCTGACGGGTTTGAAAAGCTTCCGAATTGACGCATCCTCTTCGCTCTTACCCAATTTTAATGTTAAATACTTCTTTCGAATAGATCTAGACAACTCGTTTACTTTTTTTTTTAGCGCCGCGTCGGCGATGTCGGCGGACGTCGCCTTCATGACTGTTTCTATCGACAATTAAATATCGACTTTTATATATTTGTCGAAACCCTTGCGGTAGCGTCCGTTTTTTACGTCGAAATCTTTGACAATTATCAAACAGCCGTACTTTTCTTTCCAGCACTCGGAACAAATTTGTTTAAACGTGTCGTATGAAACGTCGGGTGAGACATGTTCATCATAAACGTGACGTAAATTCATGTCATCCTGTTTAAACAACGCGACAATATTGCAATTGTCACGTATCAATTGCTTGGGTACCTTGGAGTATGTCTGACAGAGATAAATAGCGTCGATGGCCTTGTGTCGGCACATCGAAAAATACTCGCGAATTTTATCTTGCTTGTCGCACGCCACGTCGTCGAAAATAAACAGAGAATTCTCTTTCGCGTCGCTGGGGTCGATTATCGAGTCTCTTTCACTGTAGGGATAATATCCAACTCCTTTGACATTGCTCAATACGCGAGATAACAGTTGATATTTTGGTTGATACAACGACTTTGAGTAGACGTAAACATTTTCGAAACTTGCCCCGTTGGGGTTAAAGAGTAGCGCTAACATGGTGTTGGTTTTGCCGCAACCGCTAGGTCCGCAAAACACCGCCCTAAATGAATTGGGTAGCAGTTGACCGTGTTTGCTTTTGTTAAAGAAACCATCTCCGCAAACCAAATCTAAATTATCGATGGGGAGCTTGAGTTTCTGCTGCACCACCCGCATGACTACAATGTTTATTCGAGACACCTCGTATATATATACGACACAAGCAATTTCCTTTAATTAGTATGTTATGCTTCGCGTCCGGAAGTGGTCTCGTTAACACGCTTATTAACAAGTTACCTTTTGAAGTACACATTCCGGGTTACCAGTTTTGCGGTCCCGGTACAAAATTGGAAAAACGCTTGAACCGAGGCGATAGCGGGGTGAATCCTTTGGACGCTGCGTGTAAGGTACACGACATTGCCTATTCGCAAAACAAATCGTTAGACGAACGTCATAAAGCGGATAAAGAATTGGAAACGCGTGCGTGGCAGCGAGTAAAATCTAAAGACGCAAAGTTTGGTGAAAAAGCTGCCGCATTCTTTGTCACCGCGACTATGAAAACTAAACGTAAGCTCGGTATGGGTCAACAACGGCGTCCCTCTGTTTCGTTTCGACAGGGTGTCGTGAAAAAGGTTCGCAATGCATTAAAGAAGAAACAATTGTTTCATATCGATAACCCTAAAATGCTTAGAAGATCGGCACTGGAAGCGCTTCGAGCTGGCAGAGCCGCTGTAAGAAAAGCGGGAGGACGTAAAAAAATTAGGGTACCTAGAATTATACCGTTCGAATCAAAATCGGGCGGTATTTTACCACTTTTACCGTTATTAGGAGCGCTAGGGGCTTTAGGTTCGCTCTCGGGCGGAGCCGCTGCTATCGCTAAAACTGTCATCGATGCGAAAAACGCACGAAAGAAACTCGAAGAGGACAACCGCCATAACCGAGCTATGGAAGAGATTGGAAAAAAGGGATCGGGTCTATTCTTGAAAAAGAGTCCGCGCGGCGGATTCGGTCTTTATCTGAAGAAACAAAAAAACTCCCAATAAAGCTACCCAGAAGGGCTCTATACGACGTCGATTTAATATCTCTGGCGCGCAAATTAAAAATTCCTCACTTCAGGGGTGTTTTTATGCGAGATAGTTTACCCCGTCGAATCAGATCGCAAGAATGCGGAATCGTAAATTTGGATGTTCGTCGAAATAGAGGAACCCACTGGGTAGCATACAAAAAGAGGAAG